ATGGCACATAACAACAACAACAACAACAAGAGACGATGTGGAGGGTGTTTCAGATAGAGCTCAAAAAGACTAATTACATGGAGGTGGGATGAGTAGTTCACTGTGGCTGAAGCAAAGAATCTGTTGTTGTTGTGATGTGCCCTCAGTTGGACCTGACTCATAGTGACCCCTCCTTGGGTTTCCACCGCCAGCCTTCTGATTAAAAGTCAAGTGCCTTTTGACTTGTGCCACTACGCTATGCTACCAGAGCTCCCAAGCAAATGATTAGCTGGTTGAAATGATAAAAAGGTAAGGTGGAGACAGCCTGTGGGGGGCTGGGAAGGAAGTCTGGTTGAGTTGTGTGGGTTTTATCTCAATAGGGAGCCATGGAAAGGTTTCTGAAGAGGGAGCAAAATGATTAGAACTACAGAAGAGTAACACAGCTCCAACATTATAGCACCGTGATGGGGTTTTCCATAAGTTCCTTCAATCACTTAAGTGCTTTTGCTGGTACATTCATACTGTTTTGCATAGGTATCATCACTCACTCTTACTGCAAGTCCATTACCACCACCAACCCCGCCAAAAAGAAAGTCAGGATAATAAGGTAAATGGAATATCTGATGAGCATGATGACTGTGATCTCATTCTAAACAGGACTACAATCACTAGCCCATCTTCCACATGGAGGAAAACAGAGGGTAGCCACAGAACAAGAAGCAGGAAGAAGACAGAAGAGAGAGCACTGTGGGGGCGGTGGTGAGGAAAACTGAGCTGGAGACCACATATTGCTGCTGCAGAAGCTTCTGTCCTCTGAGACCCTGTGAAGTGCCATTTGGATGTCATCTGTCCTGATGGAGTCACCAGGGGAAGACAGTTCTTTCCTCAAGGAAACATATCCTTAAGGGAGAACTACTGCCTTTCTTCAGGGGGCTGTTCTTCCAGTAGCTTTCAATGAGCAGACTTTTCCTTGTCAAAGCCTATGTGGCGCCATGACATGCATTGCTCTTGATGCCTCCTGGGGAAGGAAGGCCCTGGGCTGTGGCACCTGACGGTCCCACGTTCTGGTCTGAGTCTGTCACATACCAGCTGTGTCTCTTCTCTCCGCTCATCCTTCCTCACTAGTAAAAGATCTTTACTGGGTGGTCTCTAATATCCCTCCAAGCTCTAAAATGCTACAACTTTATAATGCTTACAGGACTATGGACTTTAGGCTTTGGGAAGGGATGGGAGAAGATAATTTTTGCTCTTAGAAACAAGTAATAAAACTGCTTCCTGTCACTCTATTAACCAAAACAGACGATTTTTCATTCCTTACTTCACAAGGAGAAGTGATGGTGTTTGCTCAAGTGTCAAAACCTCACTAACATGTTTACCATGGTGAGTGAGATCTTTTTTCGTGCTCTTTTCAACATGAAAACGTCCCTTAATAAAGTAATACACACACACACACACACACACACATATATTTTAAATGAGATGCTATAATAACCACTTTAGTCTGAATAACACATCTGTTTTTGGGAAAATAATGAAAATCAGGAAAAACAAATACACAGAAATAGAGTAATTTTCCCTCCCTTCCTCTAGGATAGAAATGTGGACCCCATCTTGAGTCAGGGATTTGAGGAAGTAGTCAAATAAGTTCAAAGCAGGAGAACAAGATTCAGAGGAAGGAAAACCCCTAAAAGATGTGAAAAGTCAGGTCTTCTTGTCCTCTGAGAAAAGTAGCTAAGAAGTAGTATTTTGATGATGTTAAGATGGTGATTTGATGGATGTGTGTCCATTTATTTCCTATTTCACAGAAACTGATAGAACATTTTTTGGAGAATTAGACAAAAAATGGTTTCCTTTTTCTTCTACTTGGGCAATTTAATTTCACAGAGGCATGCTATCTGTTTCTAAATACATTTAGGCTTAATCCAATCTGTCCCCCTTCTCCAGTCCATCTCTAAAGGAGCCAAGTGCTGCCTACTGGTGATACCTCTCGTCTGCCAGGAGAGTCACAAGCTGACCTGATGGTGTAATTTCACCTTTACCCTCACAGTTCAAGAGGTCAGGGAAGCCAAGGTTGGTTTGAGTGCTATGCAACTGTCAGCAAGGATTAAAGGGAGTGACTCATTCTTCCTTCACACCTTACCCATTGGCATTTCCCTGGCAGCTGAATCTGTTCAGAAACTGATGCCTTGGAGAGGAAATACAGGAGAACATGGAGAGGTGAGGTGAAAAGAGGACAGGAGAGGGGAAGAGAGGAGAGGAGAGAAGAGAGGGGAGGGAAGGGGAGGAGAGGAGAGGGGAGGGGAGGGGAGGGGAGAGAAGACCAGCCCCAAGTCACTTCATCTCTTCATCTCACACCCTGTGTCACAGATAGCTTTCCCTTTTTTTCCCCCTTGACATTACTATTATAAAGTTTGATTTTCTGTTGCAAAGGTTGATTCAGTTAAATGATTCCAGGGGTTTCTTTTATTACATTTCTTCCTCTTAAAATAAAGGTTCAGGGTATGTTACTGCTAGGTTAGAACAGGGCCCAGGAACAAGACCGTCACATACACCAGGGGAGCATTATGACCACCTGCACGTAGTGCTATCCTAAGTAAAATATATGAAAGTTCAGCAAATACAACTGTTTTGTAGATCCTCAGATTTAACATTTTCCTCAAAAAAACTTTAAAACACGTAATATGATTTATAATAATAAATACCTTATCTGTATACATCTCAAGAAAAAAAGCTACCCCACACATGGACTTTAGAAACAAAGTGGTTTTAATTGCTGCCTTAGATTTCTCTCACAGACTTGCAGAATGTTAGCCCTGGGAGGAACCTTTCAGATCACTTCCCCACCTATCCAGTCTCCTCCTTTCACACATGAGTCAACAGAGGCCCAGAAAGGTGATATGATTTGTCTAAGCACATGCAGGAAAGAAATGACAGAGCTAGAATTGGAACCTGGGTCTTCTGACTTCTAATCCAGGACTCTTTCAGACCAGTTCTTTTTCTATTGCACAATACCACAATTTACCAAAAAAAAAAAAAAAAAAAAAATTCCCCCAGTTATTCTGGGCCCTAGAGTCCTGAGGTTGCTATCTCAGCTCAAATTATGAGCTATCTCTACTGGGTTTCTTGATTCCAGCACAGCGAGAACATGATGGTTCAGGAGATGAGAGAAATCAGTACCTACAAAATCAGCACTTCTCATGAGTCTGGAAATGAAGGAGTGAAAACTCTCTAGTAGAAATGATAACAAGCGGAACAGATCCCTGAGGTTTTGTAGCAAGAGGCAAAAATGGCCTGGGTTTGGTTATATGAAACACGTTGTTTTAAATCCATGAAAATACCAAAATGACTTAAACTGAGATGGGTCTTTAGCTCAACTAAAAGTTTAAGGCAGCTGTAAGAACTAGGTACCTTCTCCTATACTTTAGTTCTTATAATAGACCAAAATGCATTGACCATAACGCTACCTCCCCCGCCATCTCTCCCCACATTTCTAATCTGTATATCTGTATTAGCTTCAGTGATTTGTAAGATCAAAACGTTCCCATCTTGCTACATACAATGACTATCCAGGCTTTCTTTTGTACTCTAGTCACCACCTCACTGCATAACCAAAGCTCAGAAGATATATGGGGAGTGTTTTAAGACAGCTTCTTGGGACCACCATTGACCCACTGTGCCTACACTTCATAACTACCCGTCCCCCTGACATGTCTTACTGACGGGAGGGAAGAGGGGAAAGAGGAGCGGATGCGTTTAAACCAAAATGCACCAACCTCAGCCAGCCTGACACAATTTATTCTTAAAGTGACTGACAGTGTACAAAAACTTTTCAGCCAATAAAAAAAGAAAAAAGAAATACTATGTAGGTAATCCCAAAATATATGGGCTCTATCAATATATCTGTGATTCACACAGAATGCCTGCACATCTAAAACGATCTGGACCAGAGTAAAATCTAACCAGATTTTAAAATCAAGCAAGCACTTAATGCCTGTACAAGTTTTTGAAAAGAATAAACACAAAATGACTGAAGTGGAAAATCAACTGCAGCAAGTAGCTTTGGAAAAAGAGACTGACAGGTTTCTAAAATATTATTGGTGTGGAGGGAGGTCTATTTTTGTTGATAACTATTTTTGTTCAGTATCACTGACTAGCTTTCAGTTTATAGCAAAATTGATGCATTCAATTCAGCTGCAAACTTCAAATATACAAATCTATTTTAAATTATCATGATTGCATTTATGTAAACATCTGGAAAAGTTTAGAAAACTATCTCTGTCATTCCGCAGTCCTAACACTTTAATGAACATAATTAGTTTTTAGCCATCTCATTCTGCTGTGTCTTTTGACAATGTGAAAACCAGTGGCATAAAAAGTAACTCTATTAAGACATGTGACTAACTCAAACCTTGTTATTTAAATCTATGTTGTCCCAACCACTTTCCCTTAAAGCCAATACTCAATCAAATTAAAAAAAAAAACACACAACTATGGCAATACATCTTTGGACATGAAAAAAGTTTGAATGTATATATATATATACATACAAACACACATACATATACATATATACACACACACACATATAAAATATACCTATCTCCATCTATCTATCATGTGTATGTGTGTGTGTATGTATGTATGTATATATATATATATATATACACACACACACACACACACATGAAAATTAAAAAAATGCCATCTCAAATATCTTACTGGTGCAAATTGCATAAACACTCGCATGCAACATATGTCATTCCAAATAAAGGGGAAGAAGAAGCAATTTTAACACCAACTCCATTTAGGAAATTGGACATCAAATACTCCCACTATCTGTAGTTAAGATTCTGTAGTTAATATCTTTTATTCTAGTCATCAGAATGAACCATGAATAATGAAAGCATACAAGGGAAAACCAACTACCTTATTTAAAGAGATTAAGCTAGGAAGGGCCTGTCCTATGTTATCTCATTCAAACTATCTGCTAACAGCAGCAGGAAAAAGGTTTGTATTCTTACCAATGAACTTCTGAGGCATTGAGCTTTTTCGTTTTGCCACATTGCTTGCTAATCTGTCCAGAACGAGAGCTCTTTCAGTTCCCATCTCTGCTTTGATGTGTCTTGCCTCCACACTTGCTGGTTTGGAAAAATGTAAAAAGAAGAAGGGAAGGAACACGTTGGTAAATGGAAAGAAAAGGAGATGAGCTAGAAGGAGAAGTATCAGAGGTTTGATGCACTCTGTTGTTACCTGTTACTACTGCTCAGAGTGTTGCCCGGGGTACCTGCTGTGGTCAGTGAAACCGGCACAGGGGCACATTCAAATCTTGCAGTCTTATGCTGAGATGGGAAAGCCCGACCCATCCCAACCAGTACCTTCATTAGCAAGAGGAAGTATTAAATAAACAGCCTGGACGTGGTTGGTTGCAAAAAGATAGATAGATGGAGATCTTCTAACCCCTGATCAGCCTTCTTTCTGATTCTGAGTAACTCTGCGTGTGACACCTGCAGTCTGATATAATTCTTCTTAACAACTTTGAAAAAAAAAGTATGGTGTCCTAGATTTACTGCTCTGTTGATGTTAATAGCACTTTTGAAAACAGATATATTTACCCAGATAGCAAGAAATCTACTCAGTGATTTGTGTACTGAAATTCTTTTTTTTTTTTTTTTCTCCCTTTTCTTTTTGTTTTCCCCAGCATGCTCCTCTCAGTGCCTATCTTTTAAATTCTATTTCTCTGGGCTCTGTGTTATCTGTTTCATATGCTCTTCACATTTCAAAATTGTCTCAGCTAATATTTCCCTGAGCAATACTTCTGTCTTGAAATTAAAGAACAATTTGTATAATGCAGCTCTATTATATTTGTAATGAAAAAATGTGAATAAAAACTGCCTGGAATATGGGCAAACTGTCAATACATGAATAGACCTCTGAATAGAGTGTGTCTGTGGCTCTCAGACTTGGCTGAGTATCAGAACTACCTGGAGAGCATGTAAGAAAAGGCTATGGCCAGGCCCCACTTAGAACCATTCAGTTAGGATCTCTAGTATAGGCAACAGTATATTCAAAGCTCTTTAGCAGTGAAAATTGAGAACCATTTAGAAGAGGATATACAAAGAGTGCCAACACATAATCAACTAAACTAGCATACTGGCATGTTATTGTTGTTGTTATGTGCCGTTGAGTCAGACCCGACTCATAGCGACCCTTCCTTGGGTTTCTGAGGCAGTATCACTACGGAAGGGGATTGCCCAATCTTCCTTCTAAGGAGCGGCTGGTGGGTTTGAACTGCCAGCCTTCTGGTTAGCAGTCAAGTGCCTTAGGCACTACGCTACCAGATGTAGTAAAATTTACCTTGGGACAGCAGGCAGTCCCCAATAAGAGCTTATGTCTAAAGTTTAAAGAGAGATTGCAGAGAGACTTGCATTCTCATACACTGCTGGTGGTACTGTAAAATAATACAATCACTGTGGAAAATGTTACGGTACTTCCTTAAAAAGTTAGAAATAGGGATACTATATGATCCAGCAATCCCACTACTAAGAATACATTCTAGAAAATTAAGAGCCATGACACAAATAGATGTATGCACACCCATGTTCAGTGCAGCACTATTCACAATAGTAAAAAGGGGGAAATAGCCTAAGTGCCCATCAACGGATGAATGGATAAACAAACTATAGTACATACACACATGGACTATGACACAAAGTTAAAGAGTAATGATGAACCCATGCAACACAACATGGCTGGACCTGGAGGACATTATGCTGAGTGAAGTGACTCTGCTGGTATTTGAAATACCAGCGGCACAGCTTCTAGCATCATTGTAACACACAAGCCACCACTGTATGACAAACTGACAGATGAGTGGTGGAAAGTAAAATAAGTCGCTCACAAAAGGACAAATACTTTATGAGACCACTACTATAAAAAGTCAAGAAAAGGTTCATACATAGAAAGAAACATTCTTTGATGGTTACCAGGGCATAGGAGGGGGAGGAAGGGAAAAATCACTAACTAAACAGTAGACATATATTGAAGGGAAAAGCAATATACAATAAAGGAGAGATCAGCATAATACAACCAAGGCAAAGGAAGACATTGGGAGGTCCACGAGAGTAAAAAGCAACAACAGTGCATACTATTACACACACAATCCTGCAGTAACAGAAGTAACGAATACTAGTTCACTAGTGGATACACAGGTAAACATGCAAGCTGAACAGGTGTGGGATGGTATATGGGAGTACACTCACAAGTAAATATACAGCTTTGGCAGAGGGTATTTTTACATACATATTTGTATGTGCTGCAAATTTATGTAGTAGGGCATACAGGAAGCAAAGGTATAAAAACTTCTTAGCTATAATCAAATACCTTGAGGGACTGAGATACTGGGCTTGAGGCTTTAGGACTCTGTATGTATTGGGGACATGTAAGTCAAATGGTATAATTTAGTCCACAAAGACAAAATTCTATGTCCTACTTTGGTAAGCAGCAACTGCGATCTTAAAAGCTTGTAAGTGACCATCTAAGATGCAACTACTGGTTTCTCTTTTGTCACAGCAAAGAAAAGTGAAGAAAATAAAAGACTCCAGGAAATAATTAGCCCAAAGGACTAATGGACCACGTGAACGACAGCCTCCACTATCCTATGACCAGAACTAGATGATGCCTGACTACCACTATGACTGCTCTGTTGGGATCAATCAAGATCAACAAAGTCCTGGACAGACTAGGAGAAAAATGTAGAATAAAATTAAAATTCAAAATCATAAGACAGACCAGACTCATTGGTCTCATAGAGACTGGTGCAACTCCGAGACTATGGTCCTAGGCACCCTTCAAACCTGGAACTGAACCCACCTGTGGGGATCACCTTTCAGCCAAACCATCAACAGACCTATAAAGTGAACAATAATACCCGTGAGGAATTGTACTCCTCAGAACAATTAACCATATGAGACCAAAAGGGCAGCATTTGCCCAAAAACAAAAGCGCAGAAGGCAGGAAAGGGCAGGAAAGATGGGGGGACGGAAACGGGGAACCCAGCAGGGAAGTAGGAAGAGTGCTGTTACACTGAAGGGTTTGCAACTAATGTCATACAACAAAATGTGTATAGATTGTTGAATGGGAAACTGATGCGATTTGTAAAAACTCACCCAAACTACAACAAAATGTTCAAACAAATAAATTTAAAGACATACTAGCTGTTCAAATATAAGCCTTTAAACTTTAACACACAGTATCCCTAAACTATACTTCAGCAAACTTTTCCTATAAAGGGTCAGATAGTAAATAATTTAAACTTAGTAGCACACATATGTAGGAGAAAGATGTGGCAGTCTACTTTTGTAAAGATTTATGGCCTTGGAAACCCTATGGGACAGTTCTACTCTGTCCTACAGAGTTGCTATGAGTTTGAATTGACTTGAAGTCACACAACCACCACCACAACAAACTGAAATCCAGTATTCATACATTTTAATCTCCCCATGGAAGAAGAAATTGAAATAAAGTTGAAGAGATCAGAGTAAAAACCAAACCAGTTGCCATTAAGTTGACTCTGACTCATGGTGACCCCATGTGTATCAGAACAGAGCTGTGCTCCACAAGGCTTTCAAAGGCTAATTTTTGGAAGTGTATCTCTAGGCCTTCTTTCCAAGGCACTTCTGGCTGGACTTGAACTGTCAACTTTCCAGCTAGCAGCCAAGTGGATTAACTGTTTGTCTCACCCAGGGACCAAAGCAAGTGATGACAGAAGAATGTATTTCCATCCCCCAAATATATACACAGATTTGGAAATTGTCAATACTCATCCCATAGTTGAAGACTATGATGTATTTGCTGTGTGAAGAGATTCTAATATATACAAATGCCACAAATGCCACAGTCTCTCAGACTTTCAGTACCACAAACGGACATCCCACAGAGAAAACTAGCCACCTCTGCAGTAAATGACAGGGAAAACCCTCCAAGGGAAGACTACCAAGTGTGGCCAGAGTGAGGCAACCAACAGCAGTTTAGCAAAGGAAAATGAAAAGTATTAAATATTTTTCATTCTGTTATTGTGCATCTCTTAAAAAAACTGCACTGATTATTACAAAATAAATTATAAAGCTCAGTTTTTTAAAAAAATAAAATGAAATCTGGCTTTAAAAATAAGAAAGAGAAAGAGGATGGTGATAACGACCATATTTACTAGACTTTATGAGATTCTTGTAAAAACTAATTCTATGCTCTAAAGAAATAAAATCTCCGGCATTTAAGCTATTAACAACACTATTCGTGTGAATGTAATTAAGAAGAGTCAGAATAAGGGGCCTGGGAGGCTTTGGGGCTAATGATAAAGTACTGTGACTCTGCTGACCAACGGTTGTAAATTACTGGTGACAGGACACTGGTATTCAGTTAAATGGGTCAAATTCTGTCCAGTACGGGGATGGATTTAAATAACCAAACAGGAAACTATTATATAAATTATTTCCTTTTACACAAACCACCACCAGATGTGGCACTACTCGGAACCCCAAAACAGAGAGGTGAAAGACAAAGGCCTGGGATTTGAAATAAGTTCCTGAGGCTGTTATAAAGACACTTTTTCCTAGAAGCCTGGGAGAGGCAGCTAAGTTTGTGCTTTGACTAGGAAACATCCATTCTGATTCAACCCATTTTGAGGGTATGAAATCCAGGCAGGTCTACCCACTTCCACTGCTATTATTAAAAAAAAAAAAAGGGGGGATTCACAGTGTAATGAGAATGAAAAACAGCGCTTTGGGAATTTTTATCTTTTATCCGCATTTCACCACTATTCTTATTAGTCTCTTGCAGTCACTCCTTAAATGGTCTAACTGTTACCCACAGATATGTCCGTGTAGTCCCAGGACTTACTCCAAGCATCATGATGCCAGTCTAGTTTTCTCATTTATCTCTCAGCAGTGACTGTCTACATTTACAAAGTCACTATCAGCTACAACAAGCAGCTTCTTGAGGACATGTAATCAATATCCTCTCTATTTGGGAGGACGCTGAAGCGTGGATGCACTGACCTAAATCACGTAATTAGGGCACGTCACTAAATGTCAACTTCTGAGATAACATCAACTTTTATCCCTCATTACCCACCAAGTTTGTCTTAACAGTCATTTCCAGACACATCTTACTCTGTAAAACAGTGACAAAATTCCTGACATTAAGAAAAATAAAATTCCAGAATGTTTATGGATGGACACATAATTTGAGGCATGAGCAGAGACTCTTGTTTCTACATCTGTGGTTAGAATGAAAGAAATCTTCTGAAGGTAATCTAGAGGACTCCCATTCACCCACACCTTCCCTGGGCCAATAAATCTCTCACAAAAACATCAATTCCAAGGTCTCAACCCTCATTGTACATGTGAACATGTTCCAGAGATTAAGTGCAACTTTACAGAGTTAACTGTGTTTCTAATCGGCTAATTGGGCAAAGGTTAAAATTTCTACTGAATATGGCACACTTTCATTTCCTTTCCCTAGTTGTTAGTCTTTTGTCTCACGATTGTTGGACAGCTACTGTACACTACTACTTAACGAGAACCCTATAAAACACAGAGAAATACACTGGAGTTAGACAATCTCTTTGGGATTGCGTACAGAGGAGTTTGGGCAGTACATTGAAAATTAAAGGGGGTTGTGGAGAAGAAAGGAGAGGGGACTATTGGCTTTTGGTCCTCTGCTCCAACTTTAGGACCCAACTGTCCATTTATACAAACAGTCTAGACTTGTTATCTTGCCACATCATGTCTCAGAAATATAAGTGGAGGGAAACCAGTTTGGCAAGATAGTAAGGGAACAAGATAATAGGTTTAAATGACGAAATAGGAAATCCGTTCCTGGGTGGTGTTTGGCGGTTTAATGTTGTAAGGGGTGGGAGTGGGGAATATGGGATGGTGGCATGGAACAATTTGCACATTAGGTTCATAAGTGAGCACAGAAGAAGCAGGACTCCGATTCTGGATCAATCTTCCTATGTCAGCTGCCTCATATAGAAATACCAATTTTCATTAGTAATGTGATTTTAAAGACATGTTAAAAAAAAAAATAATGGGAAGTCACAATTACAGAAGAGATTACTACCTTTATTTCCTGCACAAGCCTTTATAGTTTATTGTCTGGTTTTGAGTTAGCTCTTTCCATGATGCAATTTCTATTTCAAAGTGATTACCGTTATAACTATGTATTGTGTTTTTTTGTTTGTTTGTTTGTTCAAAACCCTTTATTAGATTTTGAAGTGTTAAATGGAGCTCAGACAAGAGGTAATGTTTCCTGTCTCTTCTACAGTGTGGTCAGTCAGTAGCTAATGAAGAGTGGAACAAAGGGGTGTTATTGTGCAATAAGAATTGTCTAACAAGAGATTGCTATCAAAGACTGAGGCAGGTTCTAACAAAAAGTTACATAAAACTGTTGCCTTTTTGAGCAAGTAGAATGAAGACTCCCTCAGAGATAGTATCAATTTTTAAAAAGAATTGTCAGTTGGGAAAATCAACTTTTAAAAAATATTTTAACTTTTTTTTGCTCTGCTACATTAATATAAAAAAATACAAGGTTATTGTGAAACCCACATGGTTGTATTAGTTCAACTGAAACAATGAGAATGAAGATTAAAGGTATTAACTCCTAGATTCATAAATATATATAATTATTCAATTACTTCAAAAAATCTCGTTATTTTTAGAACTCACTGTCATACAAAAATATGTCCTGCTCCAAGCATTCATAATTTGTGTGAAATGAGGCTAGAAGAATCTCTGTACCAGCTGTTAGTCCTTCTCTAGAATAAGGATGAAACTAATAAGAAAATGAAGCCCATGGTTTTCTATATTCTTCTTTTCATATATACTCCATTAAGACAGCAGAATTGGAATAGCTTGATGATGTCACTTATGACGTCTGGTGGCAGGAATTTGGACTGAAATAGCAATATGACCCATGTCTCTGTGGTACATTAATATAGATCAAGTGCCCATTCCCTTGTTGGCTTATGAGTTCTTCAGGGTGAGGAGCTTAATCCTTACACATCCTTATAAGCAGTTCTGACACAGAGCCTGACACATAGGGTTCTCAAAAAATGCTATCTGAAAAAAAGAAATTGATTAGCAAGGTCAGAAGTCCTGTCATCCAACGTCTGCATTCTTTGGGAGACTGGTCACCACACCAAGGCCATTTCAACCATTCTACTTTCAGAAAGGCCTGCTTCCGCATGGGTGTACGTTGTTACACCTGACTCTCACATTAGGCTGCATTTCAATTTACAATAAGCACTTGATGAATGAATGCTGCATCCAGAGTGGCAACGGAGCACCATCAACTTAAGTTAGGGATGAAGGGTAAGACGTACCAATGGTGGTACTGTATCGTCTGACTTAGGCTGAAGCTCTATGTCCAGACTGGGGCTCCCAATTTTAAGAAGGAAACAGATGTGGAAATCATAGAGGGAGCAGTGACAAAATACTGTGTTGGTTTAAACATTCTTTTCATTTTGGATTTAAGGAAAAATCATGAGAACCATTTAAAGTATAAAAGACAGTACTATGTTGACTGACATGCAGTATTTATACTTGATTGACCTGTGACTTTACCTATTTTATAAGCTAAAATTACCATTGCAACATGTTTGCTTCCAAAAAAAAAAAACCTGGCTCGCTTAGTTAACGTAGGGTCTGTTGCATGCATCCATCAACTCACCCTACGAAATGCAAATGAACCCAACCACCGTATTTCAGCATTTCCTGAATCACCTGAAGACAGCTGAAATATTTCTTTGGATAATTTTTCTAAGTTGAAATTCCTGGGTGAGAAGTAAAGTGGTGACAATCAATAATTTTGAGCTTCATGTTCATAGCATACAGTTTACTGATTTTTTTCCTATTTCAAGGACAATCAGGATGGACATATAGCATATGTGTGTGTTTACTGGTATATGTTACTATACGTCTTTTGCTAACCAGATAATACGTTACCTTTAAAAAATATAGTTAATCAAGCAAAAAGTGGAAACAATCCAAATATCCATCAACTGACGAATGGGTAAACAAACTGTGACAATATACATAGAAGTAATAAAAAGGAATGCAGTCCTGATACACGCTATGATATGGATGAACCTTGAAACCAAACCAAACTTATTGCCACAGAGTCGATTCCAACTCACAGGGACTCCCATTGGGTTTCTCAGGCTGTAAATCTTTAAGGAAGCAAACTGCCTCATCTTTCTTCTGTGGAGCAGCTGGTGGGTTTGAACCAGCGACTTTCTGGTTAGCACTAAATGCCTTAACCACTAAACCACCAGAACACCTTGAACTTTGAAAGCAACATGCTAAGTTAAAGAAGTGAGAGACAGAGTGTTATTACATATTGTGTAATTCCATTTATGCAAAATGTCCTGAATTGGTAAATCCATAGAAATAAAGATTAGTGGTGGCCAGGGGCTAGGGGTAAGGATAAACAAGGAATGAAAGCTAATAGGTACAGGGTTTCTTTTTGGGGTGATGAAAATGTTCTCAGATTAGATAATGGTGATAATTGTACAACTTTGTGAATATATTAAAAATTACTAAATTATATAGTTTTAAAAGGTGAATTTTATGGTACGTGAATAAATTTTATGGTATCTTAACACATTTTTTAAAATAAAAAATATTGCCAATCATAAAAACAAAGTTCTAGTGGTTTTTAAATAAGTCACTGAACTTTGATGGATTTCAATTTCCTCATCTCTAAAATGAGGAAGGATTGGATGCTCTCTTGAACCCTTCTAGCTTTAAACATTAATCATTGTATTGGGAATATGATAGACTTTCATAGCTTGGGAATTCCTCATAGCTAAGAGCTTTGCCTATTGTCTGAATTATGAAACTGAAGATAAAGATGCCTACCTTCTGTGCCTGGGGAAGGACTGCTTAACTGAGTAACCTTAAGCATGTCATGTAAGATGTCAAAACTCAAGTTTTAGGTGGTTTTTTTTTTTTGAAAGGGAGTAAACACTTCTCTTTAGAAATAAGGAGGAAATCCAGCTCCTTGATAAAACTAAAGATGCCATCAGGAGGAAAAGCAGAAGCAGTGGCAAACCAACCAAATTCAGTTGGCCAGCTCCTAACACTGTCAAAAAAAAGGCTTTATCTGAAATGAAAGTGTCTTCTCACTCAATACTGATACAGTTTTAACTACTCATGATTGCTATTCCATTTCTCCTGAGCGTCACATTATTTCTGTTATACTTTTGTAATCTTTCTGTTGGAGGATGTTCAAACTTTTCAACTGCAAATACTGCTGGCCAACACTCCACAAAGACTTTTACCTGTTCTAAATAAGCACCTGGTGCAAGTAACCAAATAAAAAGTCAGACACCCCACACTGCGGAACCAGTCTGACCGTCAACTGAACAAGACAAAAGACAACTGCAGAGATGCCAAACAAAAAAGTTACAGGTTGTTTCAACTAAAGAATGAAAAAGAAATAAAACCAAAATTGAGATCTATAAATGCATCTAGTGTTTCAACCAATTGCCACTAGCCATCTAATTCAAACCCTGGGCTCATTTGACTATGAAATCCCCAGAGCCAATAATGAGCATCACAGTAAATCATATGAGTAGACAAGGATATGATTTTTGGGCATTGTGAAAACAAAATCCTTGCAGTGTTAATCAACTCTGCCCTTCAGTTAATGGCAACTCTGGTCTTCAAGTCATATCCTACATCAATCTGTTAGGACTTCCTGTTGGCTCTACCTTTAAAAAATATATATAGAACACTGCTAATCACCTTTGCTATTACCATCTACTCCAAGGCACAATTTCCTACTGCTTGAACTGTTGCAATGGCCTTCTAACTGGACTCCTTAATTTCCAACCTTACCCCAATACAATCATTCTCAACAGCAACTAGAGCAATCCTTTTCAAATGGAAGCCCAATTGTGTTACCCCTCTGTTCAGAACCCTCCAGAGATTTTTCATTTCACTCAGAGTAAAAGCCCAAGTTTTGACAACGGCCTACAAGTCCTGTCTGGATCTAGTCTCCCCTTTCCTTTCTGCCCCCATCTCCTATTATTCACTCTGCTCCAGCCACACAGGATTACTTATATGACTTCAAACTCAAGCCCCAGGTCCTCTGCACATGCTGTTCTCTAGTTTTCTGCAGGACTCATTCCTCATCTCCTTTTAAGTCTGCTGAAATGTCACCTTCTCATTGAAGCCTTCTGACTCACTCTCACCCGCCAGTACCTGTTTCAATTTTTTTCACAGTACCTACCTTCTAATACACCATGTCATTTACTTATTTACTCTGTTTATACTCTATCTTCCTTGTTAAAATATAAATTTCATGAGAGCAGGGTTTTGGTCTTTTCATTTATTACTGTATCCCACTACCTAGAAAAGTGCCTGGCCCATGGAAGATGCTCACTAAATGTGTGTAGATTCAGTGCTACAGGAACTCACCGGATTCTCCTAACTCAGTGCTCTGAAGAAACGTACGGCAACGTTCCTTATGCTCCTCCAGGGAACTCCTCTGTTTGTAACTCCTTCCGCAGAACTCACACTTGTAGGGTTTCTCCACTACAAAGAGAGCACAGAGGGTACTCAGTGACCCTCAAGGCTTATAGGACAAGTGGTAGACTGGAGCTCTGTGGAAAATGACCTCTAGGAGAGAGACTGCTGAGAGAAGCCAGAGTATTTAGATAAATTTGAAGGGTATGGTCTACAACTGATTATCCTGTCAGAGTCTTCTAATAAGAGATAGCCTCCTATACCAGAAAAGGATGTAGATTTAGTAATTATCACTTAGTGTAGTGTTTTTGCTCAGGATCAAATCATGTTTCTTTGGGAAAAAGAAAAACTGAGCCCTTTTATTCTTCAAGTGGTCTGTGTGGTATAAGAATGAGAGGAGAAGGGCCTCCTTATTTTGCAGCATCCATCTGGCTGTAAGTGAAGAAAGATGCAGTTGGCAGGACTGTAGTCATTCAGCTAGAAACTGATGGCCTTTTAAGAGCACTGACATACTTGGATAAATTGAGCTCATCCTTGCCAAGTGGCTACAGCAAAGTCTGAGCTAAAAAAATAAAAAGTGAGCTAATTAATTAAGGGTATAATTTGAATGACAGAAATAGGAATAAGTTGCAACAATGATTTATTTCATCTTCATTTCTAAGATGAAGCAAGTTTCTTCAAAAGTTCACCCATAATGTTCAGGTTACTTTTATCATCTCAATACCTTCAAATACTTTATGGCTTGAAATATGTAAGTAGTAACTTTAACTCTCTGGCTCTACTTTAGCTGTGCAGGGCTGGCTTTCCTGATATGTTGACAAAATATACCCTATCACCCTGTCAGAGTTTTAGGGAGTGAGATTTTAATTTTCTAATCTTCTTACACTGCTTAAAACAGACTTTGAGTTTAATGCACTAAAGATTCTTATTATCCAAATTAAAACAAATGCAAGTTTGCTAGGGATAAAAAAATCAAAGTTTCTATATAAATTGGGGTCTTTTGGAATCTGTCTTAAAAATTACTACCATTGGATCTTTAAAAAGGCAATGGAAGGGAGTTATCGCAATTTTTTTTTTTTTGGACTAAACTCAGCCTTAATTAATTAATTTGAACCCTCTCTTTTTATGATCTACCATGGTCGATTACATTGGGGGTGACTTAATTCCTTAGTTTCTGAATACCAGTTACAAGTTTGGGGTTTTTAGTCAAAGCATTATATATATAGACTGACATAAGAAGAAAGCCTTTTATTTTTCTCTGAATTAAAATTTTCTTAGATAATATCAAGAACATGAGGTCCTGAATTTGAATATAAACTCTAATTTTTATAGGAGGGAAATTCTAAATGTTGATAAAAGAAACATTTATTATCTTGCTTGGTCAAAATAAAGAGTGGAAATGTCAAATACAGCTTTTTATGAATTCTTATTGCTGTTCATCTTTTAGAAGCTAAAAATAAACAGGCCAATCAAGAGCAAGGTTAAGTTTGAGAAATTTACCCAGAATGGCCAAAAAGTAACCCCTAAGCAATGACTTACGCCCAGCTGACAGAACTTCTACCAGCCACAAACTGCATATCATTTGGTTTCCAGTCTTTTGAAAGAAAAGTGTTTCTTTTTCAGGAAAATCTTTTAATAAAGTTTACCATAAGAAAATACTAGTGCCTATAATTTACCCTAAAAATTAAAAAGGCATTTTTACAGGGCCAGCTTTTCCTGTCTGAATGTGTTGTTCTCTAGGGGAGCAAGGATGGTAAAGAGATGATCATCCCAATGAGCCAGACGGAGAGCAATTAATGCCTTAATGGAAGTGTAATTAGCCCTAGAGGTCTCTGCTGTTGTAACCCTTCAGAACAAGAATGACAGATTAAAACATCCACGCTTAACTCTTTCTAGCTTCCACATTGGACGCGAGGGACATGCATTTACTAGACACGGGTGCTCATTTCTCTCACTTACCAGAATGTGTCCTAAGATGGCCCGTGAGTGCATCTCTTCTCTGGCATGCGTAGTTGCAGAGGTGACACTTAAAAGGTTTTTCCCCTGTGTGTAGTTTAATGTGGCGGAGGAGGTTACCTTTCTGAGTAAAAGATGCCCCACACTGATTACACTGGAATGGGCGTTCACCTTTAAAAAGGACACAAAGGAGACTTCTGGTCATCAGGCAAGTAGGGAAGCATATGCACAGATTAGATGCCCACAGCAAAAACTCATCTTTCAGACAGTTTCTGTTCATTTGGGGCTCATTTGAGAGCTGTATTTCAAGGCAAACAAGATTTACTTATGGAATCTTCCCTCTAGAGAAGACAAAGCACCCACCTAATAAGGCTATTTTAGGTATTCTCTTGTCATGAAATCAGAGCAAATAAACAGTGTAACTCTAGGAGTACTTTCTAGAGGTAAATTTTTGTATTAGCATTCCTTCTGAATATAATCTGTCTGAAAAAAGAGCCACAGACTCAAGTCCTAAAAGGCATTGAGCGCAAGAACTAGACACGCTTCTTTTTAAAGACTTCATATAAGTCAGATGGACTCTCTCGGGCCCAGTGTGATTGTTGTGCTTGTCTGTATTTCTATATCCTGCCTGTTTACTGTTGAGAGATAAATTCTTTAAAACTGGAAATGAAAACTATATCCTTTCATCTACCAAATTTGAACCCAATAAAGTAGATCTACTTTTATTAAAAGTGTTATGCGGGAGGAACGCACTCCTTAGAACAACCAACCATATGAGATCAAAAGGGCAGAATTTGCCTAAGGATAAAGCTCAGAAGGCAGAAATGCATAGGAAAGAAAGACACAGGGAAATGGTAGCCACAGGGAGGAAGTGGGAAGAGTGCTATTAGATTGTGGGGACTACAATCAGTGTCATAAAACAAAATGTGTATGAACTATTGAATGGAAAATAAATTTGCTCTGTAAACTTTTACCCAAATCACAATAAAAAGTTTTAAAAGAAGTGTTATGCAAAGATATATGAAAGATGCCTAAGAAGCAAATCACTCAATTCAACTCCTACGCATTAATTGAAGAGAAGGCATTTGGCTGACCTAGAACACTGTGCTCTCTACAGTCTTTTTTATTCATAGCATTTGCAATATGTTTGCTAAATGCATGATGAAGCAGGAATAAAAATCACTGGATAAACCGAAATGTAGAAAGGGAGCAGTATCATCAGAATTACAGCAAAAATCAATGGAAGTAATCAAAAGCCTTGAATTTCACCACTTCATTTCTCATCTCAATGGCTGCATTAGGACAGTTTTCAGAAGAATGGAAAAAGAAGACTATTTACCAGTGTGGCTCCGCTTATGAACCATTAAGACATTGAAGCTAATGCAGGATAATCCACACACATCACAGTTCATTTTTCCACTGCTTGGCCTGCTACCATCATAGGAGACAACATGTCTCTCCAACTTAATGTTTTCATAGTCATTATATTCTCTTGAATAGCTGTAAGGAAGTTCAGGCTCTTCTGCACTTCCCATGGGCTCTGGCTTTAAAACATTCTCATCCCTCTCACTGTATTCATCTTTCACTTTCATTGAATCATCTGCAGGGAAGAAAACACAAGAAATGAACAATGATGGTCTTTGGGACTATCAAAGCAGCTCAAAGAGCAGAGGTACACAACTGACAAATACCAAAGCTGGTGTAACATTTTACATCTACAGGATAAGAAAGCACCATTAGGGTATCACTCATTGTTTGAATTCAGAACCACAATTAGAGGAAAACATACATACTCACATACAGAAACAGAGATGACAGTGTTTTAGGCCATCCAGAAAATTAGAGGTAATAAGATTTTTAGCCATAACTGATCAAAGCAACCATGAAAAGCACATTTTGAGCAACTCTTCTCCAGGGAGAGGGGAGAAGATAGGATCTCAGACTTAGTACCTTTTTTGGTGGCTGTAGTTAAAATGCAGGGTGCTGTGCTCTTAGGTTTAAAGAAGAAAATAAATACTGTTTTAATCCTTCAAATGCATCCAGTTGAAACCATTAAGATTGAGATTTGAATAGCTAACATGGTTTTTCTGATTTTAAGCCATGCTTTGCCTCTTCCCCTTCCATGTATGTGAACTGCTAAAGCATAGCATGTCTTATCTGACTATCTCTCTTGGAACTGATAAAGACACACTGACTGTAGAGGAAGCCATCGTACTAGTGAAATACTCTTGAGAAAGATAAAAGGAGAAGTTAATTCTTTAACATAACCTTCTAAGGAGCCATTTTCATTGACACAGGTAAGTGGAGCTCAACTTAAGTATAGAGGGAAGGGTACCTATACCCAACCAAAAAATAAAATAAAATAAAATAAAAACCAGTTGCTCTCAAGTTGACTGTGAATCATGGCAACCCCACACACGCAGAGTGGAACTGTACTCCATAGGAGCTTTAAGGTTGTGACCTCTTGGAAGCAGGTCACCAGGCCTTTCTTCTGAGACACCTCTCAGAAGGTTTGAACCACCAACATTTCAGCTGAGCACTTAACCATTTGCATCACCCAGGAAGTAAACTCAAGACCCTAACATCGTAGAACTGGATGGAAGAGGAGCCCAAGTGAGTTGGCTGATCAGGTACTATCTTAAAAAGACCCGCAACACTCTTAAGCTGAAGAATACAAGAAATGAAGGAGGCAAATTTGTGTTCTGGTACTAGCAAAACCTAAAAATATGCCCAACGTAGTAATAATAAGCATTCGTAAGGGATTTTTCATATACAGATAGGCCCCAACTTAAGACAGGGTTCCATTCTGACAACTCTGTTTTAACCAAGTTCTGATGTAAGTCAGGGAGCTCTGGTGGTGTAGTGCCTAAGGTATCGGACTGCTAACCAGAAGGCTGGTGAGTCAAACCCACCAGTCACTCCAAGGAAGGAAGCCTGGGCAATTTACTTCTGCAGAGATACTACCTTGGAAACCCAAGAAAGGGTCATTATAAGTCGGAACTGACTCGACGGCAGTGAGTTTGGTTTTGGAGTCCGACATAAGTCAAATACCTTGGTTCTTTTTTTTAGTTTTCATTATTACTGCCTTTTATTATCAGTAGATGTAAATCTTATCTTTGTCTTTAGGGGTTGGCATGAGAATGAAAACACCAGCAAATTACGTACTACAGCACTGTATATAGTACATATTACTAACAATAAGATGTAAAAAAACAAAAAACGTCATCATAAGTGTGATTGGTTGTTAACTTGAATATGTCGTAAGTTGGGGAGTACGCGTATAAAATATGCTGTATAAAATGCTTTTTCAAATAAAGGTTCCTAGAAATTGGCAGTTGTACTTCCCTGTGAGGAATCACAAATCAATGGACTTTTCAGACTGGAAGGGAATTTAGAGATCATATAAACCAACTCTCTCATATTTCAGACTGAAAAATCCAGGAGCAGAATTGTTTTAGGTGATTTACCCAAGGCAACACAGATGTGTGATTAGAACGTGAATGTGACACTAAACTGTCAATTATTTGAATTTGACCTCACACACTAGACATACAAAGTCAAAGTGGCTTCTTATAACTATATTCCACACCCTCTCACCAATACCATAGACGTTAAAACCAAAACAGTGAAGAAAGGATGTTTTAAAAAACTACATCCCTTCCAAAGAACATCAGAAAGTGCTGCTCCTGTTGCCACACAGGAGGAAGTACAACTGCAGCTGTGCCTGGCTTGCTACCTTCAACCCAAGTTTCAATTTTCACTTCTATCAAGCTTACCTTTCATCTATATTAACTGTGTTTGCTTATTAGAGCAAGACAGGAGCATAACCACCAACAGAGAAGCCTTGCTGCAACACTGTTCCACTGCTTCTCACCACAGTTCATGGTTCATAACCTTCACTCTTTGACTAGCAGAGATGCAGGGCTATAGGATACATTCAAATCGCTTCACATGTGTCTATCCTATGTGTTTGGGTTATATATGAACTGATATCCATTTCCTACATGGGAAGAGGTCTGGTATCTGCTTTCTGTGAGCAGGTCTTTGCAGGTTTTCAGATGGGATTTGTTTACTTGGGTGGTTTTTGTTTTCTTTTCTTTTTTTTTTTTTTAAAGAAGGATGCACCTGACACTTGTACCTTCTCCCTTCCTCCATCTCTCCAGCTGTGGGTGATATCCCACCAAAGCTTGAGTGCTCTTCGGTTTGCATGTAGGCGTTTAAAAGAACCTCAACGGAAAACTTCAGCTACTGAAAACAAAAAAACAGCAGATAGAAAGGGCCAGCAGAAAAGGATCCTTTTTATTTTGGTTAGAAAATGTTAAATATGAACAAACTCCAGTCACTCCATGGACAGGGAACATTAAAATAAACCACTAAGATCAGTGTGTTGACTCTTTCTGAAAACTAGGACTCATTACCACTCTAGGTTGGTTCAACAGCAGATCCTGGTGTTGGTCCTTTAGGACGCTGTAGAGCTATTGAGCAAGGCAGAGAGTATCCAAGACCCAGAGCTCTAAGGGAACATAAGAGTTGGACAGGGAAGTAGTGAGGACATGAATTCCTTGGATTCAATGGGTCAAAACTGTTCCTGGTATAGTTGCTGGTTTGCCATTGGAGTCTTACTGCTTTTAAGTAAAAGATCTCAATAACCTCCCTGCATGGTCTGGGGATCAGCAATTCATTACGGTTTTGGGGAAAGACCATGTGAAGGTAAAGAGAGTTGAATATTGGATTAAATGGTATGAGTTAGACTGCCAAGCAATTAGCAAGTGTAGCACCTAGCCTCCAAAACAACCAGGAAAGATACTGGTCTGTTCTAATGAGATTAGGTGTCTTGAGGGAGGGGAAGATTTATTGGAGTAGAGAAAAGGGGAGCATTCTACTCAGGACCCTTAGAAAATACTAATAAACCTATCTATAATCAAACCTGTCATCTCTGAACCCAAACTTGTTTCTAATTTATGACCTCTTTATATTTACAAATGGCATCTTCCTTCTTCCATTTTCCAAGACTTGAAACTGTAGTAGTATTCCTTCTCTCTCAATCTCCATATCAAGTTAGTCTCCAAGATCTACTGAGTCTGTGCCCTCAGGCACTCTAGATGCCAACTCGTCTTTTCCATTCCCTTTGCAATTTAGTTTAGCCCTTCTCCGTCTCACCTAACCTCATCTCTCAACATTCCTTTCTAGAGGACTTACTACAAAGGTAATTTATGCACTGCCTCCATATCCTCAAAACTGGCTCAAAATTCCCTGTCTCATAATCCACTGAGTCTGCTCTCCTGAAGATCACTAATAATCTCCTGATTTCTAAACTCAATGCCATTTTGTATGCCATTCTTCACAACTTCTCTGTAGCCCTTGATGCTACTGACCATCCTTGATTCTTCTATACTTACCTCTTGAATGAAACCGTATTCCTTTCCTTACCTTTTTGACAGCTTCTTTATAGATTCTTCTCCTCCCTTTGCTGCCTCCTAAATCCTGTCCTTGACTTTTTAATTCCTTTTACATCCCCTTGCTTATGGCACTTTCATCCCTCGTAAGGTTTACTAGCATCCTATATGAACAATCCTCAAATATGTATCTACAGGCATACTCTCTCTCCTTCAGTTCTCTATTCCCAAAGTCCTCTTTCTAAAGATTCCTAGTAATCTTCCTAGTCACTCAGGTTAGAATTTTTACAGTCATCTTTCCTTCCTCTTGTTTGCATTCCATATCCAGTCACCCTTTGCACCTCTGCACCTCCTCTCCAATCTGTTTCTCCTCCACACCATTTTACATGCCCATTAGCCTAGTTCTCAGACCCTCAGTACCTCTCTCATGATATCTACTGTGGTAGCCTCCACATAGTTCTGTCTGCTTTCCAGCTCATCCTGTCCACTACCACCAGATTTCTCTTCCTACACTACTCTGTTCATAATATGGCCCTGTCAAAATTCTTAATGTTCTCTGCTGCCTACAAAATAATGCCCAAACTCAGAAACAAAGAATTTAAAAGGCCTTTCATGATCTGGCACCAACTTATCTTTGTAATGTTGATTTTCATTTCTTCTAAGTATTCTGTGCTTTTGTTAACGTTATTTCCACTGCCTAAAAGGTCTTTCCCTACCATTGCCACAGGTTCAAATCCTACACGTTTTTTAAGGCCAGACTAATATGCTATTTACTCCCTATTATTCCTTCTCTAATTTCCCCAGCTAGAAAATAACCTGTTCCTTCTTTCTCTGAGTTATTATTTATAAATTCATCTCTCCCCTACTGACCTATAAGCTGCCTATTGTTTAAATTTTGCATCCCCTATAACCAGGGCTTCAAACTGGTTCATTCCAGTTTGACCACCTGCTGACAATGTGCATTTCTACCCCAAATATAGTGAATCAGAATCTACATTTTTAACAAAGTCGCCAGGTCATTCTTAAATATACGTTGAATGAACTGGTTTGAAGCCTTGCTTACAACACTTTAACCTGTATCTGTAAGATCAGAGATTATATGGTTTTAAAATAGAAAATTTTGAGGTTCCACCAGAGATCTACTAATCTGGGATAGGGACTGGACAGATGCATTGGAAAAACATGCTCTCCATGTAATCTTATG